AGAAAAAAAAAAGAAAAGAAGAAAGGTTAGACAGCATTTCATGTTGAAGCAATGGATGCCAAGTGCCTCCTGGGATTTGTACAACATCACTTCTGTGATTTTCCTGCTGAAGCTACAGAACCTGAATCTAATTATCAGGAAATAATAGACCAACCCCAATTATTCTACAAAATACCTGGCCGATAATTTCCAAAAAGGTCAAGGTCAAAAAGCAAAATAAGTCCTGAGGAAACGTTCCAATTTGAAGACTAAAGACACTGGACAACTAAAAGCAAATTATGATCCCAGAAAAGAGCTATAAGGGACATTACAAAAACAGTTGATGGAATTTGCATATGGACTATAGATTAGATAATAGTGTTGTATAAATGTTAGATTTTTGATACTGGTCATTGTATTGTGGTTGTCTAAGAAAATGTCCTTGCTTTTAGAAAATAAATTCTGAGGTATATAAGGGTAAAGGGTGAAGGGGAGCAGCACACACCACCCCAACATGTGGCACTTTGACATCTGGGTTATTTTGAGCTGAAGGCAAACAAGACCCAGCAGACTCAGGAAAACTTTACCTCTCCCTTATCTGCCTAAAGTAATTTAGATAGGGAGCCCATGCCAGAAAAAGGCCTATATTACCAGAGATAACTTTTTTAATATGAAAGACTTACCTGCTAAAAAACCTAAAAAAGAAGAAGAAAAAAATTTTCCACCCCTACAGGTGTTAAATAAATTAAATAAGGAGGCCATTAGACTGAAGTGTTTCTAATGCCTGTAAGCCTACAAAAGCAAACAGAATATAAGTGTGTGAAGGTCTCAAGGTTAAGAAATCAAAACCTAAGGACAACCGATCACAAGCAGCCAAGTAGGCTTTTCCAAATAAGGCAAATGCTTAATCTATAGCCCATCAAATAAGCTGACCCTCGAACAGCACAAATTTGAACTGCATGGGTCCACTTACATGCAGATTTTTCCAATAAATATGTTAAAAAATTGTTTGGAGATGTCCCTGTTACCAGGAAGCAATCGTATAAATTATGCTAGGCTACCACAAAGCAATCGTGTTGCTGCTTCTTCATTATCAATGCAGGAATCCAATGAATATTAATGTCCTGCTCAGTTCAAATTGATTTTTGCTCAAATACACTCTTAAAATTTTTCATATGGCCCATTTTACCTTTTAACAAGAGGCATGATGTCTGCATCTTACTCTCAAGTGGTTTAGAAAAAGAGACTGAATGGTAGAGCAACTGGGGAAAGTATAAGCAATCAGTGAAAGTGGATAGGGCTTATGTGGGCTTCTCAGATATACATGTGTTCCTTTTACAGAAACTTGCAATGTTTTTATAAGTTTAAAATTGTATCTAAATAAAGAAGTTATAAAAGAATATGACATAGTTGATGTAGTTTTGCTCCTTCTGTAAGGGCATTAAAGGTAAAACAGAACTGGCCAGTTAAAATGTTAAAAAACTATTCTACCAAAATTTGGGGTCTCTATCAAACTGTTTTCCTTTGGATTACCAGAACTTCTAGCAGTAAAATACCCCCATTAAATTGACATAAGTCCAAAGAGGTTCAACCAAATCTAAACAGCAAATACCAAGAACCATTTCCAAACAGTGACACTAGTGGCAAAAGGTACAATTCTCCCCTGGGCAAGGCCCTCTAGTGACTTCTCCAACCCATGCTCTGAAAGAAGTTTTAGAAAGCTAGTCAAGAGTACCACAATTTATTCTAGAAAACTAGCAAGATCTTTCCTTAAACAGCTGTTTTTTCAATTAATACAAATTAACTTTCACTCTGTTGGACCAACCCCATGAGTTGCTGGTCTTCAAACATCTGAGTTGTGTGTAAAGAGAACCAAAAGCTCTGAGCACCTGCTATGTGTCCATGGCATTAGGAAATTTAGAAACAGAGAGGTTATTAATTTGATGAAGGTCAAACATTAAGGAAGTTATAAAACTAGAAACTGGACAGCAATGTTTTTCTCAAGAGCCCACGTTCTATTCAGTAATCAATCTGCTTCTGAGACAGTGTAGTTCCTAGACTCAGTCCATGATATTTTATGAATTATTTCAATTTCACTGTCAGTACAGCCCTACAAGATTGGTGTTATCATATTCACTTTTACGTATAGAGAAAATTAGATGGAGAACTAACATGACTTGTTCAAATTCACAAGAGCTGGACAGTCATGGAGGCAGAATGTCAATACAGTGTATGTGACTTTAAAACTCATGCCCTTTGACCCATCAAGACAGCACAAATAGATTGCATTGTGAACAACTGGGTATCATCAAGAAAATAATAGCCAAGTAAATCCCAAGTTCTAAATTAATTAATGTTAAGTTATCTCATGAAAACTTAAATAAAATAGTCCTCAAGGCAAAAGATGATTTTTAAGGGCTCTAAACAATGTCAGAAAACCTTTTTTTTTTTTCATTTTAATTTTAAAATCTATGCACACTCACACATCAGATCTCTGGCCTTTTCTTACCCTAGTTTATTACTGGTATTCTCTCTCTTTCCTCCCTTCCTCTGTCTCTTGTCTGTCTCTCTGTTTCCCTCCTTTCCTCCCTCCCTCCCTCTTTCCCTTTCTCTCTCTCACCTACTGTATGAAAAGGTCACAAAGTTTTCTACTGTCCCCTAGTGGTCTTAGCCTGGGAATGGCAGTCACGTAAGGAAAATTAACAAAATCTTTATAGACAATAATAAAACAACACAGAATTCTTTAGAGTTGTTGGAGACAGTGGGCCACTGGAGTGAGAGGAAGGGGTCCATTACCACTGACAAGTTATTTAACCTCACAGGGCCTCAGCAAATGCACCCCTGCACTAAGGGTTAAAATAGTGTCTTTTGACAGCTGCTCGTGGGTTGAGATAACACAGTAAAAGGTCTAGAAACACAGTACACTCTCAATAAAAGGTACTTACTATTTACTTTGGACAAATCTATACAGTTGAGTAAACTGAGGCTCAGCACAGCTTACTCATCTAAGTCAAACAACAAGCTATAGAATTAGACCCATAATTCAAGTTTTCAGACTCTAATTCTAGTTCTCTTCATACCTCAATATCTCAGATTAACAGCTGATAATGAGAAGTGTTAAGAATTTTTAGTCTTAAAGAGATATTTTCATACATTTGTGTTTTCCATTAAGTCCAAAAAAACCCCATATTTCATTGGTCAGTGGTCTAGTTCTAGAATGTATCTTAAAATTGCAAGAAGCACACAAAAATTTGTATCCAAAATATGTTCATAAATCATTATTTATAGTTGTACTAAGTTGAAATAAACAGGTAAGAATTGATCATTGTTTGTATTTATTGAACAGTCTATTGGTGCCAAGTTCTGTTTTAAGGGTTATGAATATATCAAAGCATTCAATGAGATAGGTACTATTATTATCTCCATTTAACACGTGAGGAATCTGAGGAATGCAGAGGTTAAGACCTTGCCCAAGGTCAAACATTAAGGAGTAGTAGAGCCAGGAATTGAACTGGGGTTTTTCTCAAGAGTCCATGTTCTATATTCACTACTCAGTCTGCATCCGAGACAGCACCATCCATGGATCCACCCCATATTCCACTACATGGCAGAACCTATGGTAGAATACTGTGCAACCATAAAAATTATGTTTTTAGTAAGTATTAAATTTTATGGGAATGTGCATACATTCTAATGTTAGGGGAAAAAACAGTATATAAAACTGCATACTATATTATTTCAGTCCTAGAATAATGTGGATGTATGTGTGTATAAAGCCAAATCTTACTCTAAATAGCACCTTTCTCTGGGCTATGGGTTATAAGTAATTCTGTTTCCTCCTTTATACTTTTCTAGATATTCTGAATTTTTGTAATGAGACAGAGTTGCTGGGATCATTGAAAAACTTAGATTAAAAAATATTTTAGTCCAAGCCCTGGCTGGCGTAGCTCAGTGGATTGAGCATGGGCTGAGAACCAAAGCATCGAAAGTTCAATTCCCAGTCAGAACACATGCCTGGGTTGCAGACCACAGCCCCCAGCAACCGCACATTGATGTTTCTCCCTCTCTCTCTTTCTCCCTCCCTTCCCTCTCTAAAATAAAAAACTAAAATCTTTAAAAAATAACTTAAAAAAATATTTTAGTCCTAACTGGTGCTCAAAGGACTAAGTGCCAGCCTGCTAAGATTTCTCTCCCTCTCTTTCTCTTTCCCTTCCCCTCTCTCTAAAAACAAATAAAGTGTTTTTTAAAAATATTTTAAAGTGCTTTAAAAAGTACCGGTATTACCAAGAACAGGATTCAGTCTCCCTTTGCAGTAAAATAATGAATCAGGAGCTGTGCCTGGGAATGATTTTCAAGAAAAACAAGGACTGGGAACAGAGGAAGGATGTTCAGACTGCAAAGGGCAGTGTCTATGAGGGAGTGTTTATTAGAACACCAGGGCTGGGTTAACTTGCCACTGCAGCCTGCTTTTGATTGATGTTAGCTGTTCAGAGGCTCTCTTCTGACAGCAGTCATTAGGGTTCACTGCAAACTGAAGTAGTATGGATGGAGGATCCTGTCTTCCCTGATGGGAAGAGCTAAGACCCTAACAGGTATAATTTCTGGTTTGGAGAGTTTCAAAGATTCGGCAGAAAAGCAGCAAAGACAGCTTTTTTTGGTCCTAAAAGGTTCTCTGCATTATGAAAGCCCCTTCTGGCCAGGCCCTATCAGCAGCACCAGATGGGGCTGACATAGGCCCATGTTGAGGTGGCATCTTCCCAACAATACACACGAGCTAATCACAACACTCGCAGTGAGAGCCTGCCGCTCAAGATAATACCACTTGGCTCCAACACTGTGCAGTGTGTGTCGCCTCCCGCCTTCCTAATTTGAGGCTGAGTGACTGAGCCTGACCCTAAACAGGACTTGGAATTCCTCCACATACAGATTAGGGATTTTTTTTAATTGGAAACTAACTTCAGTTCACTTTAGAATGCCTTGTTTGGTGCACACGTCTGGCTATTTCAGAGATTTCAGCTTTGCAGTGAAGTTGGTGGTAGTCAACAGAAGTCTTGACATGACATTAGCAAGGAAGATTCTTATTGAGACCCACACATAGAAAAGCCCACAGGAGAACTGTGAGAGCTCACTTCAGGATGAAGTTGCAAGAGCTAAGTACATTTAACACCAGCAAATGCTATCCATTGACCAACAGATGCAAGAAGGTCCTTCTTCCAACAACTACAGCTCCTGTGATGGGAACCAGGCTACTTGGAGCGCAGCTTCCTCTCCTGCTGCTGTTGGCTGGCCTGCAGAGACCCACGGTGAGTTCCCAGGTAGGGCGTGATTGAAGAGGTGAGTGCTAGATGACTGAAGTTCCAATACACCTTCCCCTGGTGACAACCTTTCAATAACATTTAGGCACTTGGGATCTAATTTCATTCAGACATCCTAGTTATGCTAGTGAAGAGTATGAAAAACAATTATTTACAACTGTGGAATTCTTTACGGTTTGTAAATTTGACATAATGGAAGCTGTGGCATGGCATTATTTTCTGGATTCTCCACAAAATGTAAGTAAAACACTGTTTTGTGGGACAATGCAAAATTAACCAAGTCTATTTGGCTTTAGACTGTATCATATGAATCAACTCAAAAGAAGTATTATAATTTATAGTTCCACATAAGGGAAAGTAACCTAATGTTGAAAGATAATAGACTACATATTTGAGATTAGTAATATAGTAAAGTTTTAGTTTATCATAATAAGATTTGACAAAATGTGATATTACTGATTTTGTATTATTTCGGCTTAAATAGATTCTCTAGATTTACTGGTAAACTTGCTGTAAAAAGTTATTGGTTAAGATTATTTAAGCAGTCTTAAAAATGTGTTCTAATTCACACACAACCAGATGATTGAACATAAATAACAGTATAAATACCAAATGGTATTTTTATTTTCATTTCAGCCTCAACATCTTTGACATTGACTGGATGGAAATTTATCTTTTAATATATTACTTAATGAGTACTGCTTATTAGAAAAGTATTATTATTTTTTGTCAAGCAGGAAACATCTTGGGATTTAGGTCATTGAAATATGGCTGTGCGTGATGGACTGATGGTCCTTAGTGAACTTGTGTTCAGACTCTACCTTTAGTTTAATACGCACTAGGTATCCGTAAGTAATATTCAATTGGTTGCCCATTAGACAATGTGTTTTTCCCACTCCTGATTTCCAAGAAAAGTGACTTTTCTGGACACAGTCCCAACCACTATCTAAACCTTTGCATACTCTTCCACCCTGGAGGTGGGCAAATTTACCTGATTGGTAGCATAAGGAAGAATAACTGGGTATACTGAGTTTAACTCTGCTTTTCTACTTCCTGGGAGCTAGCCCAATGGCAAAGGCTGGGAGGTCTGTGTTCCTCCATGACAAGAATCTTAGCTGGGTGGGCTGCAAGTCACTACCGCCGGGAGCTGAGTGGGCAAGGCTGCCTCATTCTGAAGTTTATTCCCAACAAGCCCACTCGCCATCAGACCTAAAGATGTGTGCCCCAACATGGCATAATTCACTAATAAAAATGATATTTTAGCCCTCATCTTTGCTCTTTTTTATTTTCAATTTTTTTAGAGCCTGAACAGAAGAGAGGGCTATTACTCACTGGGGATGCCTTTGAAGCACCCAACATCATTCATCACTTAAGTCTTTTCTTAAAGTTCAAAGGCTCAATATAGCTTTCAGGTATTTTTAAAAGAGTCCTTAAAACACCCATGAGAAAATATGAAGGGGGTTAATAGAGGAAATAGAAAATAAAACAAAACTTCAAGGTTATTAATCATTCTCTTCAACATACCCAATATGCAAAAAAAAAAATGTGAGTTTGGTGATACAAAAATGGTCAGTTCCTCTCTGGGGCGATGAGCATTTCTGAGCTTTCAGTACTATTTATCAAATCAAACTCCACCTCTAACACAGGTCATTGATACAAGAAGGACAGAGTAGTGGAATGATTATGAGTGAAATTTACTTCAGCAAAGGCTGTTCTTGAGGAGATGGTCTCATAAAGCACAGAAAATCTGCATTCAAATTTACCATCTGATTTGAAAAAAATTATAATCAATATTCTTTTTCTTATAGGCTGCTATTAAAATCAACTTTGACTTGGCACCAAATTCCTTTGATGACCAATACCAAGGCTGCAGCCAACAGGTCATAGAGGAGCTAAGTCAAGGGGATTATTTCAAGAAAGAACTAAAAGGCCGAAGGAATTATTCCAGGGTCTGGCATAATGCTCACCTAACCTGGCTGGGCCGAGATAAAGCCCTCCCTGAGAACATGACTATCACGCACGCTGTGGTCATTTTGGTTTACACATTGAACAACAATGTTCGCTCTGACTTCACCAGAGCCATGGCCAGCGCTGGCAGGACTCCATGGCAGTATAAACATTCATTCCATTTCAAGTATCTACACTACTATCTGACCTCAGCGATCCAGCTGCTGAGGGAAAGGATTATAATGAAGAATGACTCTCTGTGTTATGAGGTGTATCACGAGGCTGATTTCTACTTGGAAGCTTACGTAGGTGCCATCCTTCGATTTGGCCAATTCCTCTCCACCTCCCTCTTAAGAAAAGAGGCACAGAAGTTTGGAAACCAAACTCTATTTACCATATTTACCTGCCTGGGTGCACCTATACAAGACTTCTCTCTCAAGGAGGAGGTCCTGGTCCCTCCCTATGAGTTGTTTGAAGTTGTAAACATGAGCTACCACCCGAGAGGAAACTGGTTACAATTGAGGTCAACTGGAAATCTGAGCACATATAACTGTCAGCTGCTAAAAGGTATGAATTCACTCTTATCAGGATCAAAGACCATTATTCTTTTATAAAATGTATTTTTCTGAGTGGGTTTAGGGGGAAAAGGCCAAAAACATAGAAAGTGGCCTTCAATAATGGTGGAACTGATAGGTTAATGGGGAAAACTGCCTTATTTCTTGGTTTCCCTCTCTTCTTTCTCCTTTCCTACCTCCAGAAAAATGTATTTCTACAAATGCATAATATACTAGCTATTCTAGATGAGAAAGTAAATCTTGTAAACAATTGTGCATAAAATATAGCATCTCTACCTTCTCCCTCAAACTCATTTTTTTTGTTATGGTCATTTCATGAGTAAGGAGTGCTAAAGGTAATCAGGAGGCATGATTCATTCATTCACTCTTATCTATTAAGCATCTTCTTTGTTCGAGGAGCTGGCATAGGAGGCCCCAGGCAAAATAAAAGGAATAAAGCAAAACTACCATCCTAGAAGGATTTTCAGTCTAATGAAAAATAGAAATATGAACAAATATCTACACACAAAAGTACAAAGTAACACACCTAATGTTTAAGCAATGGTTGTGGCTGCTCAGTGTAGGAAGCTACTCATCCTCTCTGGGGAAAGTAAGGAAGACTTCAGGGTAGAGGACCACATGGGACTTGAAGTAGGAATGGGGTTTTTAGCGAGAGAAGAGAGGAAAAGTCATCTCAAGCAGGGAACAGTGTGCTGAATCACAGAAATTTCAGATAGCCTAGTGACTCGAGGACTCTCCAGAATTCTGATGGCCGCAGTGTAGGGTGTGCAGGACGCAGGCAGGGGCTAGGACTAGAAAAAGAGTTGGAGAGTGGGCAGGTCTGGAGGTTTCTGATGGGGCTCCACTATAAAAACTCATGCATTCCATGCTCAGGACTTGTGAACTTCGTGGTGTATGTGCACAATAAGAAGTCACTAGAAATTGTTAAGGAAAGGAGGAGCATCAGTTAAATCAATATTTTTGCAAGAACTCTGATGATATCATGGAAAATTAACTGAAGCAGGAGAAATTAGAGATATCACAATATTTTAAAAATTGAAAAGCTCTTTTTATCCCTGTATGTTGCCAGCCACAGTCATTTCACAAGGCAATAGTTCTGTAGCAAACTCTGTACCCCATTTGATTCAGAGGGAGGGGGAATGTCCTTATCCATAAGTATAGTTGTTTACTCTCAACCCAGCTACAAAGATCATTACTTGGGGTGGGAGGGTCTACCTTTGAAATATCCTCTGCTCCATCATTATTGCTGCTGTTCATAATACAGGCTACCAGCATTTCTCAACTTTCAGAGCTGTAGTGTTGCAAAGAGCCTTAAACTGGCATCCACACCGACGTCTAGGGCCCACTCACTCTGGCCCTAGACCAAGGGAAAGGTGGCCTACCACACCTTTTATCCTCGTCCTTCTCTCCTTGCCAGTGTGGCAAGAACAATTCAAGTGAAACGTGTACCTGCCCCACAGATCCAACAGATTAGTGTTTGTAGAGGACAATGAACAACTTAGAGTAGAATCTCAAGAAAACTGGGGTTTTGATAATGAGAACATTCATAGCCAGGTTCCAGGATTCTTTGGAACTGCACCTGACTAAGATACTGTTGCTTCAATTTTCATCATGAATTTGAGACAAGTAACTGTTCTACTAGGTCAACTAGAAGAGTAAAATATATTAAGTGAAAAATCATAGAGCACTGATGTCAAGGAGCAAAAACTGAGGGAGAGGAATGTGTAATAGAAACTACTACCCATGTTCTGCCACTCTGAAGTCTCAAAGGAAAATATTTCAACACCCTCCCACCCAAACTAATGATCTTTGCTTTCTTGTGGTAAAACTACTCAAACACAACTTTACCTTGGTGTTGAGTTAAGGCTTAGCTGAGGTAAGCCATGCAAATTACAAGGTTCTGGAAGCTTGGTTGGTCTTGATTGGATATTTGAAATTATGAATCATGCTTAAAGGAATCAATAATCTTGTGTTGCTCTGCAAGTTCTTTGTGGGCAGTAACTTGACTATGCACTATTTCAGAGTTTGGCATGGAATCCAGGCAGTTTGATCCCAGATCTGCCCCTTCTGTGTTCATATGCAGCCTGTATCACTTTCTGGCTGTGTTCTCAGTCAAGTTGCTTAACCTCTAAGTTTCTTCATCTGTATAATGAGCATCATAATAGAACCCTACACAGCTCTTGTGAAGATAAAATAAAATGCTAAATTATTCCTACGCTCTCTAGCATATAATAAATGATAAATAAGTATTAACTACTATTAACTTTAGTCCCCTAGCACATAGTTGTTGAATAAGTGAGTTAATAAATAAAGCATTCTCTTTCATGCCTCTGAGTGAGCTGTGCCTTGGGTCAGATGACCCTATAACTCAATTTAAAAACAGTTCACTATTTTCTAGAAAAAGAAACTGTTCTAGAAAGTTCAACCCCTAGTTTAAGACTATGGGGCTGTAGCCATAATGTAAATGACTTGAAATGTGACCTCTTGCAATGTGGTTTACCATATCTATCTTTTTGTTAGAAATTTGCCAATTAGAAGCTTGGGTAATGTTGCGCGTGGGTCACCGGCCAGCAGTGATCACGGAACGCTGTGGATGGCTCAACGATAAACACGCGAGAAAAAACATGCACAGAAACAAACTAGTTTCTGTGGAGAAGTAGGGACGAAATGGCCACCCCTTCTAGTGAGGAGCGCACCGATTTACAGTCCATACCTGCTTTTATTGGGCTCATTCTGCATAATAATTCAGGTAACCATAGAAAACAAAGAACTCTGCCGGTCTATTGAGTTGGGGGTCAAAGAGCTGTAAGACTGAGGAACAAAATAACTTCCTCCTAAGACCCTTCTCATTCAACTGAGAGCATTCTAAACAAAGAAGGTTTCACAGTAATTTACATGTTCTTTCTTAGGCCTGATCACCCCGGGAATCCGCACTTCTCAGTACAGAGCTGCACCACCCTGTCATTGTTTCAGGCTTAGGTGGAACAAGGGAACTAAGGCAACTGGGAGACAAGGAGGTTTTTTTCCCAGACGCTGAGAACTCAGGCTATGTCAAAGCCGAGGAGCGAGGGTCCATCACCCCCTTTTGCTGCAGCCCCCCAAGTCCTTCTTTTGGGGGGCCTCCCAAAGTGATCGTGCCTGTCTTTGGTCGTTCCCCCCGTGGGGAATCTTACCCGTCTTTGACTAACCGACCAAGCTTTTTGGGGTTCAGTCATAAATAAAGCAGCAGAAGCAGCATTCCTGCCAGGAAGATAAGCTTTTGTCTCCTTGCTGGCTTACAGTTCCAAGGGCGTTCCCTTAGCCTTAGCCTAGGTGGGGGTTTCAGCTTCTGATACCAGTCAGGGCTGTTCCCAACAGGGTAACCTTGGGGAAAAGAGACTGTAAATGGCAGAATAAAAATACCACTGGTCTTAGAAAGTTTTATGTTGTTCGAAGACATCGTACCATAGACCAAACTCTGGAATTGGAGTGTCTTCCCAGCCAGCACAGTTCTAAAACTATCTGGGAGAGTCTAAGACAGAAAGGACAATCTTAAGCTGCAAAGACAACATTTGTCTGTTGACTCAGCTCTGACTGAAAGTTGCAGAAACCTTACCTAAGCCTCATCTGCCATTGGTTTGTTGTTAGCACAGTCACTTTAGCTGAGGACAAAAAGACTATAGACTTGGAATGGACAGTACAAATATTCACCTAGCTCTACTAATTTTTTTAAAACATTTTTGATTGGCTTCAGAATACCTTCAGCTATTAACTGCACTGTTTTTTTCTCAATAAGTAAGCTATGTCTGAAACTTTCTTTAAGTCATTTCTGTTAACTGATAAATAATATTCTATCCAAACTCAACGAAGCAGTATTAGATTGACATATACATGAACAATGGGAAGAGGGCAGTGATGTATTTTCTTATCTGAGAGTCCGTCACTGGGAGGAACTAAGATCAATGTACAGTAGGGGAAAAAGTAATTTTTCCTCTGCCCTTCTATGTTCCTCACTGAGACTCCTCATTGTCATGAAAAGACAGATTAACAAGAAAAATAATAATTTTATACATACAGGAGCCCCATAAAGATATGGGATTCAAAGATAGCCAGATGAGTAAAGCTTATAATGTTCCTGAGCTAAGGAAAGGGACAGGGATCTGAGGCTTTAAGGAGGAGGAAGATGATTTATAGGAAGATGAGAAGGGTAAATGTTTGGTAGACAAGTATGTTTGGTAGACAAGTATGTTTGCCCAGCAATTCAGGTTTGTCTCTCTAATACAAAAAGTTAACTCTGGTAGTAGCTCTCTTCTTGGTACAAGACCCTTTTTTAAATTCTTTTAGGCAGTTAAGGGGGAGGTAAAAGGTTTTTCTTGAGTCTGCTGGGCCTTGATAGCTTTCAGCTCAAAATAGTCATTATGCCAAAGAGGCCTATTTGGGATGATGTATTCTGCTCCCCTTCAGTCTCCTCATCAGACATGATTTTCTGTATAACTACTACTGCCCACTTCACTTCTCCCAGTCACCTGGATTACACAATTCACCTTAGCTTAGGGAATTCACAGAGGGTGCTCTGGAGTACTGATATCCAATTTCTCATGAAAGTACAATCTTCTCAGTAGACTGTTTCCTTTCCATTTTTTACTAGCAGAAGCCATAAGCTATTCTATGCCCCAGAAAGTCCCTATGAGCCAGTGACTTATGTTTCCTCTCCCATTCCCTCTTAATGTAGTAGGCATGATATTTGAAAGCCAACATAAACGCTGTTAAAAACTGGCCAGCCAAGATACTGTAATTCTCCCAGAGAAGAGACAATAGATTAAAGAGCATTCCAGCCCTTCAATTTATTTCAAAGTTGGTTTTGTTAACTTGCAATTTCAGTCCTCAAGTTCAAAGACTTCTCAGGAATTTGTCACCTTCAGAGAGTTGAGAAGTCAAGTTAATAGCATGATATACAGGGTCCGGCAGACATAAGGCTTGCCTGAGTGTGGTTGGTAGGGTATGTGAATGTCTCACACGAGATGGACAGCAATTTGGACATTTCACCTAAAATACCATATGGTGTGCTTGAGTGTGATATTGTTATGTTACAGAATTACACGCTTATGATTTTGTAATAAAAGATTTTGCATTAAAAAGGAGCATTATTTGTCCTGGACCCTGTGTTTAAGGGAGTGAATTAGTAAAAGAAAAATTGTTTATAAGACATTCTAAACTAACAGTTTTCCCTTCTAATTCTTCTCTCCACCCTCACATGACCTATACTGGTTACCATAGAAACAGATGTTTTCAGGCTCAGGGAAATTCGACTCAAAGTATGTTATGTTAGTTATTTGCCCTTAAATGTTGTTTGTTCGGCAAAATAATCTGTGCCAAAAATCTGTACACACACAAATACATGCTCTGTTTTGTATCATTGAATTCACAAAGAAGAAGGATTTATTTGTTAAAATGTTTAACATAATCAAAATTCCTAAGCATGTTTCTAGAAAAAAATGTAGTCAATTGTTTGTACTGAGCCTTTACATGTTAACCTTGCCATTAGCAGTGAAAACATGAGCAAATGGCTTCGTCTCTCTGTGCCTGTTTTTTTTAAGTAAAATAGAAATAGTTTTTAAATAAAACCTACCTTATAAGATTCTGGAAGGTAAAAGCACTTAGAACAGTATCTGGCCCATGTAAGTAAGTACTCAGAACTTTTTAGCTACTATTACCATTATTATTGTTTACTTTATTAACTTCCTGTTCCATTTTATTCTGAGCTTCAATTTCTTTTTTTTAAAGGATTTTACTTATTTATAGAGAGGGGAAGTGAAGGAGAGAGGGAAAGAAACATCCATTGGTTGCCTCTTGTATGACCCCAGCTGGGAACTTGGCCTGCAACCCAGGCATGTGCCCTGACTGGTAATCGAACCAGTGACCTTTCAGTTTGTAGCCTAAAGCTCAGTCCACTGAGCCACAGCAGCCAGGGCTGGGCTTCAATTTTTCTCACATTAGTTTTCCCTATCTGTGGCATCACATTCACCTCTAAATGGAGTGTCTGTCTCAGAAAGTGGAAGAAAGAATGAGCATGTAATGGAATGAATCTAGGAGGCCACAGGGCACAGTAGAAAGAGAATAGATAGACGCCAAGCCAGTAAGATCTGGGCATATGTTAGTTATGTGGCCTTTTGTGTAAATAACAACCTCTGAACCTGTTCCTTCATTTATGAAATGGGGGCAATACTTGTCTAGAGGGGATGTTGTGATAGCAAGCAGTATCCACCCTCTCAAACACAACTGAAAAACTCCTGGAAAGTACTTTGTACATGGAAGCAGAATAATAGTTTGATGGTGCAAATGTGTGCTCCAGTAATATCAACAGTAAGAATAAGAACAAAAAAAAGACAAGAAATAATGCTTATGGTTTTTGAGTGCCAACTTTTTCCTAGATAACATCCTAAAAGATTAGTGCTTATTGCTCTCTGTGCTTTGACAGAAAGAGGCTACAGACAGCATTTGTCTCTGCATAATAGATTAACTAGACACGCTGCATGTCAGTTTTAGCTTTTTTGCTTTTTTTCAAGAGCTTGACTATTTCTTTCTGAATCATTGATATAATTCACAAATTCAGACTTCAGGAAATAAAAGATATAATAATTATATATTTCTCCCCAGGCTGTATACCCTAAGGCAGATATGACTAAAATTAGATTATAGTACACCAATAGAATTATAGTTGGGTAGCAATTAGTTCACAAAAGACTTTCATACACATTATGCGTTTAAGTCTTACGATCACCCTGGATATTGGGTTATTGACCCCGCTGTGCTAATGTGAATATGAGGTTTAGAGAGGTCAAATGATCTGTGTGAGATTTTCCAAACGGTTTGTACATGACAACAGTAGGACTCTTTCCCATGTTTTTGAACAAAAAGTCCAGAACAATTTTCTCTATAAATTGCTTTTAGGAGATTTATTTGTCCATTCATAAATGTTACTGAGAACCTACCATTACTTTCAATCTTCTGTGACTGAGACTATTTACATTATAACTCACTTTGCATGACATAAATATATAAAAGCACATGTAACAAAGCAATAGTTTATTACATGTGCTGTGTAATTCTAGAGTTTTTTATTCTAACCTATTACATTATTAGAGAATGATGGTCATGGCCTACAAAACTGATGTGACAAACCATTAATGGATCACAATCTCCAATTTGAAAAATATTGTACTAGAGTACAGAGGAAATAAAAAGTATTAAATAGATAGTCTAAAAGAAAAGTACAAAAGTAAAAGTAACATGAGGTATTCTCAAATGACTTTATAAATCATAACTAATATAATTCAGATGTTTTTTTATTTATCCTTCTAAATATATTGTCTGTGTTTAAAAAAATAATCAGTAGCAATGATAATGACCATAAGAAAGGTAAAGAAAAAGTAACAAGAGAGTTAGAAAAGTTACTGTAACCTGAGAAAATAAAATTAACATATGACATTTTTAACATCCTAGTTATTACAAAACAAGGCTTAGGAGGTGCTTTTGAAGGATGAGTGTGATCACAGCACAGTAATGTTTATATGTTTGTCTCTTGTTTGAGCATCATCATAATAGCAGTGACAGAAAGTATAGTGACAGTGATCATAGCATTTACAAAAAGCTTAAGATGCTGTCATTTGACAGATCAGAAAACTGAGGCTCCCTGAAAGTCACTAACATGGTCCAGACAGCTAGGGGCAGAGCTTCAACGCCAAAGCTAATCACGTCCAAAAACCATAATCTTTCTCTGCTATGTTGTTTCACTATCAATATTTTCTGATAACTCCTCAGTAGAATCACATCCCATTAAAGAGTTGAGAAAGGTAGGAGGTTGGGGGTTATTGTGATCTCTAGCCTCAGGGAAGAGAAAACAAAACAAAAATGTTTGAGAATCCTTCAATAATGACCTGCTAATGAAGTATTAATGGTTCCTAGGTCCCTGTGAGAGTTCAGATAATACAATTTTAACACAAACTTTGGCAAAATATTAGAAATATGTATGTATGTAACTTTCCTTGCCTACTCTTATTAAAAATTAGAGGTTTGAAAATTACTGCTGGTATATATATACTTCCAAATAAAAATTCCAGGAAACTCAATACATATTGTATATATCATACAAAAGTATGGGAAAATATTTCTCCATCATCTGGTCATTCTATCAAACAATATAGTTAAATATTAAGGCAATAACTGAGTTGGATGTTTTTCTGCCTCAAACATCTTTTCCACCTTAATAACCAGTGAAATCTGGTGGAAGTGATTTCACTCTTAATTTAGACCATTTTAAAAGGTTTCCATCTCATTCTATGTTCTCATCCTATTGTACTCTCGGACAATAATTATTCTGTATTCAAGTTTTGCTTTCATCAGCCACACCTAACCAGCTGCTAACTTTTCCCTGCTTCCTGTGAAGAGCATATCTATGTAGGCAGTACACAGACACACACACCAAACAGAAGTGTGAACACTTTCTGCCCACATTACAATAAAAAAATTCTATGAGGACATGCAATGTATGGAGAAGGAAATGCAGTGGTTAAAAATATAGAGCTGAGCCAGACTGCTTGAGTTTGAATGTTGCCTACACTACTTAGTAGGCGTATGATGTTTGACAAATTTCTTCACATCTCTGTGTCAGTTTTATTAACTAAAAAATGAGGATAATGAGAATAACTACTTCATAGGTTTGTTGTGAGGATTAAATGAGTTAATTTATAGCAAGTGCTCAAAACAGACTCTAGCACAGAATAAATTACTTAATCAATGCTAGCTTTGATCATGGTGATGAAGATAATGATAATTAAGGTGGGATATCAGTGATAGTGATCATGTTGATGATAATAATGAAGATTGAAAATCAGGAGATCTCTACCACCAACGAGTCAGGTGACCTAAAATAAGTCTCTTACTTTCCTGGTGCCTGTTTCATCATCTGCAAAATGTGCAAGCTGAGTTCTGTTAGTTAGACATACCTGAGAATACTTTTTTCAAGCTGCTAACTTCAAATAGTTTTATTAGAAATTTTCTAAGTTAAAAAAATGAATCAAAATAGAAATTACACAGATTCTTTTAAATCTCTGCTACCTAAAACATCTTTGTTTGTTTTTACAGCTTCCAGCAAAAAGTACACCCCTGCTCCTGCAGTTACTGTTGTTCTCTCCGTTTTCATCAATGTCATCATCTCTTCTGAAAGTGGAGTGTAAAGGAACCTTGCCATTTTGATTTTCCTGAACCCGTTTGCTTTATTTCAGACAGGACACCCTGAATATCCTTGTGGAATCACCCCTCCCCCATAATCAATTGATGCACAGCAGGCTTAGCCCATTGTCTGTGAGTGGGCCTGTAACTCAGTATGTTTCTTCTCCATGGACACAGAGATCCATGCTAGAGTAGAAAATAACCCAATCAGAGTCTGTGAGATAAATTCAGGGTATTATTTTGGCACTGGGATTAGGATTGGGGTGGGGCATTTTTTTTAATGGAGATGACCAAAAACAGAATATGAGCCCAGAGCTGCTAGCAGCTATCATGTCCCCAAGAGGGGAGACCTTATCTCCCTGAGAATGGAGTTAACACAGTAAAGGGAGAGTTAAGAAAAGAAAAAAAAACTAGGTCCACATGCAAGTGTATGAGCCCCTATATCCAACTGTGTCTGAAACTGGACACTGTGGGCTTTTTAATTACATGAATCAATAGATTATATTTTTGCTTAAATAATTTGAATTAAACTTTTTATCTCAAGCAGTTGGGGGAGTTATGATGAATGTAAGGACACACCATTAATTTTTATTTAGTAATCCTAAATAAGAACAAATCAAATCTTGAGTTAGAAAGCAAAGGACCACTTCTTCATCAAATGGAAAAACTTTGAGACCCAGAGACATAATTAAGGAGGGAATGTTCTTCAGAGATTTTTATTAGTATTCAAGACCAAATTAGTGTGGCCTCAGATGGGTGGAAACTTAAGAAATACAAAGGAAAGATGTTAGTGAAATCACTATCACTGCTGGCAATGGGGTGTTGCATAAATATTTCTAAATTACAAAAAATAAAATTTAAACTCATATGTTAATTTATATAGAACTTAATGAAAATTGGATTTTAAGTATTCATCATTAATTCACATTTTTAAGAACATGTATAGAGGACCCATGTAATACACAACAAGATGGGGATTGACTGAGGGGGCAGGAGACAGCAACAGGAGAAATATTGGGACAACTGTAATTGAACAAGAATTTTTTAAAAAGGAAAGCGTGTGGATGTGTGTGAAGATAAAGTCAAAGATATGAGAGAAGAAAAGCATCTAGCTACAAGCAAATATCAACAATATATTGAGTCTCCATTATATGCAAACAATGAGGTAAAAAGAAGGATAAATCTTTGAATTTCGCAGTTGGGAATGTTCCCCCCCTCTTCTTCCAGGAATACACCATATAGGTGCAGTGATGGGAGGTTACCTGACCTCATCTCCAAAGACCCTTGTATTGGGCTAAATGGAGTGAAAGTGAGAGGTAGCTTCATACCTTTGAATTCTGAAAGTCCATGCTACTTAGAGATTTGGATAAGAAACAGCAAAAGTGAAAATCAATTCATGTAGCCCAAGTAGGACTTCCTGAAGGGTCTGTGTCATGATAGAGGAAACTCAGTGGGAAATTAGAGGTATAAAATCACCTGGTAGAGAAGTCAGCCATCTAGTACTATGATTGTTTACATTGGGACTTTGAGAATATCAGGGCCGAGGACACTTCTGTCACGTAGCTTGCGATGGACTCTGTACCCAATAAAGCCAGCATGGAGTTTCCATAAAGATAATTTCTATGTTCACTACACAGGGACTTTGGCAGGTTAGTGGCTATCTGGGATCCAAGAAAGCTTTGAAGTAAGCTTTTGTTAGTGAGGCAGTGATGAAATATATCAGGAATAGGCTCCCAACATCTTGGATATTTTTTTCTGGGCCATATTAAGGCATTTACTCAGTCATACTATGCACAAAACATTTTTGGGATTAAACATTGAATATACTAGGCCAGATCTTCCATGAATTAATGAGCTCTTGGGAAAAATTAAGAAAAGAACACAAATAAATCACAAAGGAAATACAAAAAAAAGAGGAAAATCAAGTCTTCCACTCATGAAAATCCAGAAGAGAGAGTCCTTCTAACTGAGGCAAGATGAGAAGCTTCACACAGGAGATAGCATTTGAGTGAGCTCTTAAGACATTGAAGCAGGATCAAGGGGTGAGAGAAAGGAAGGAAAACAGTAGGGACAAGAATGTATCAAGTGTTTAGTGCCAAAAGTAAGTACAAATAATAAGTTTTTGGAGTTTAGAGAAAAATGAGATTCCTCTGGCCTGAGGCTGGATATAGCTTTCTATCAGAGCAGAGGCTTAGGGGAGGAGCTTCACATTGGTGGGAAAGAAAGCTGAGTAGAAAAAAGAGGTGAGATAGAGGGATGGTCAAGGCATATCAGGGTCAGAAAACAGACAGGTCTGCCAGAGTGGAGGAGTAATGTAGACTGGAGCGGAAAGTTGAAGCCTCTCAGTTAAGCTCAAAAGCCAGACTAAAGCATTTGATCTCCACAAAAAGTCAGTCTTCTGGGTAAGAAAATTCTCCTAAATCAGTTACTCTTAAAGCATGCTCCCAGTATCAGCAGCGACCGCATCCCTGAAGAACCTGTTAGACATGTGAATTCTAGGACCTGAACCCAAATCTATGGAATCAACAACTGAAATCGTGTTTAATAAACCCTCCTGGCTTGTGACATATGTGATTATAGTCCTGAAGGGAATAATGAAGTTTTTTTAAAAGATAAATTCGTTCTTCCTTTGCCTGCTTCTGTTTTACTGAATTGATCTCTGGAGACAGAAATGATTTTCTTGAATCAAGTAGATTTGTGGGTTTAGGTAAGGAGGAATGTACATGGTTTGCATTCTCTCAACCTCTGCCTGTAGTCTCAATTTTTAGAGCAAGGAGTCTGTAAAGTGCACCATAGATTTAACATGATTCAAAGCTTAAGTTGATGAAACTTTAGAAGACCAGTTTCAAAAAATTCTCTGTAATTTCTGTACCTTTGTTAGGCTGAGATATCTTCTGAAGATAAAGAGACCTTCAGATATGCATTAATTCACATGGAGTGTTAACAGAGACTACATTGTAAGAGTGCATAGTACCTATCTCCTATTATAATTTTATTAAAGTAACACATGCATCTCTTTTTTTGTAGATACAAAAACACTGTGGACTCACTTATTAATTTTATCCTTATAATACAGTGTCCTAATATGCTTATCTGCTTGTCCTGAGGTTTTCTATTTGCTCTTACTTAAAAAAAACAATCTACTAAAAGAAAATTTTGGTAGAGTTTGGTTTGATTGGGGAATGAGGATTCTATGCCTGAATTGCCTAATGATCTGAATCAAATGGACTTACACTAAGTGGACTGGTTCTTGATTTGGTAAAATTCAACAGACATTATTTAGCTGGATGTTCTCAGACATACCAAGATGTGCTAAACATTGTCTATGGATAGAACGTGTGCATGGGAGGGGAGCTATTATAAAAGTATTACAGGACTTTTCTTTCTATCTTTCTTCCTATTGTTATTTTTTAGTAACTAAGGAGGTTACCTTGGTGGAAGTGATTGCATAGAAGGCTAAAAAACATGTAGAATACCTTCTTCCTCCCTCTTCATCAAATGCCCACACGTAATTTCTTTCCCTTTTTGTTTCTCATGCTTCAGACTTTTTTGAACAGAGTATAGAGAAAATCTCTTTTTAAAGGAAAAAGTGAGATTTAAAATTTTAAATGAGAAAAACAACTTAGGCATTTTCAGAAAGAAAATTCAAATAAAAAACTAGAGTGATTAATTGCTTTTCAACAAAGTTCCTACTGGATGTCATGTGAAATACGGCAATCTTGAGAGCATACATTTACAGTGCATGAGAGCCAAAGACTTTGTGGTAGGCAAATGAACTGGTCTGACTTTTCTTCCCCAATACAAGCACATCTCAAACATCCTACTTCTCCAAGTGTTATATGGTGTTTTCACTGAGAAAGATTAGATCACCTCCATTTTCCAGCCTCTAATATCTCCTAATCACAAGACCTCAGTAGGACACAAATGAAAATAAATCATCTACTCTAACCTCATTTATGTAAGAAAATTTTATTCTCATCCATTGTTCTTATTTACTTCTGGATAAATCTTATCAAAAGTACTAAGTGATTGCTTATGATAGTCAAGACCCTGAGATGTACAGAAACTGAGTGACAGAAATGCAGAGGGTTATTTTATATGTTTCCTAACCCTCAACAGTTGTTTCTGCCAGATTATCTAGTGGTAATTGTTACATTTGCCTGGACTTTGCACTATAGTAACTAGAAATATAGTTACTAAGTGGAAATTAGTTTGAAGTTATTTCAGTTATCCTTTAAGATGAAATACAATATTTAGAAACATCCTCAAATGTAATATTATCTTGATTTATTAACAATAAATTGTTTTTAATAACTACCATTGTAAGCAGTTTCTTTTTTGATAGAACAAAACTTGAAGCAAATGGTTTGCCAGGTGACTATTCTTTGCATCAATGTCGCAATCGACAACATGTCTGGCATCAAAGGTCTTAGAACGTGCAATGAAAACTCACAGGATCTGAATTGATTTTATGACAGAAATGAGCATTTCTGTTGCACTCCTATTAGTCTGGCTTTCTTAATCCCAGAAATGTTCATTTCCACAGTTTTTAGGGCTTTTTGGAGGATCTCTCAGATTGGTCGCACAGTTTTGATAATTTGCTCCAACTGCTTTGTGGCTAACTCAATATATTCTTCGTAGTCTCGGTTTCTAATGCATCCTGCAACTTTTTCACATTGTTTACTATAATGGTTTTGGACGGGTCTGCCGTTGGGCTTTTCTCAGATGTGGTAGCATCTGGTTGCACTTTGGTGTCATTTCTATAGAAGTCACTTAATTGAAGATTCATAATGGGATGCTTCATCAAGAGTGAAAGAAAAGATTCCAAATTCCCAGGGATGTTACCACTATTCATCCAAGAGACAGTAGGTGGTACATGGACATTTCTGGATCCTTCTTTAGCTGACTCATGCAACTCCTTTACATTGGCATTCTTCTCACCCACAGAGCTGTTCCAATCCTGAAAAATAAAGGTTCCTTTTGCATTTTGTCATCCTCTGCATCCACTACAGATTGTGTCTACTTAAAAATTATGAGCATGTGTTTAAAGACATCCTTAATATAACCATCTTCTTTCACAGCCATCCAGGTGACCCAATTGTTCATACCACTGTTAAACAATTTGGTACGTGTGTTTGTAAAGGAAGCAAAAGCTTGCATGTGAAAAAAGAATGTTTTGGCAGCTTGAACCAGCCTTTCTTTGTCCTTTCCTGACTCTGAAGACATTTCTCCAGCAACAGTGTTTCAGCACTGCAAAACAAAGCAGCAATCCAAATGAAAACTAAAAGTACATCTGTTAACCATAAAAAAAAAGACTCAAAGCATTATCTGAATATGAAGATACTTCCCGTCAAGGATTGGAAAACTACACAAGCTTTAAAGAAGAATGATCCTGTGCTTTAATAAAAATAATACCAAAACTATTAAAGCAGAGTAGAACAGGGGTGTTTCATTGAATTTAAGCCACATACCAAATACTGTGTGCTGGATTCTGAATTGGATATGTTTGTATATGAAGTGGTACTGTTCTCAATAACTACTCTATGTAGTTATTTCCAATAACTAATGGAAAATACTGAACAAAGTATTAAAAAGTATACAGAAAGGCTCTGGTTCTAGTTAAGATAGAGCAAACATACTCCATACAACCTTTCCTACTCATTAAAACTAAAAATCTTCCACAAAATATATAAAGGAACTATCATGTAACTCTGAAGTTGGGTAACAACAGACTGAGGAAGCAGAAAATGCAGCATTTCAAAGAAGTGCAATGCCATTTAGTGCAAATTCCCAAAAGGTCTTGCTTGTCTAAAAGTGTTTCTGCACTTTCATGATAAACTTTCTCTTCTGCTGCAGAGAGGAGTGTTGTTGTCACTAACCGTTGCTCACGATTCTACAATACTTTTTGTAGCTGCTCTAGAACCTTGCTCTATCAATCATCTTCTCTTTCTCTTGTGCTGAGGACTAAATAGTGAACCCCAAAATTCATAAGTTGAGGCCCTAGCCCTCAGTATGGCTGTATTTGGAGATAGGACGTATAAGGAAATAACTAATGTTAAATGGAGCTGTGGGGGCAGAGTTCTGATGTGATAGGATTAGTGTTCTTGTAAAAGGAAACACCAGAGACCTCGCTCACGTGCTCTCTCGGCCACAGGAGAGCACCATGAGAAGGCACCTGCCGGCCAGCAGGAAGACAGCCCTCACCAAAAACTGGATGGGCCAGCACCTTGATCTTAGCTCTCCCAACCTGCAGAACTTTGAGGAAATACATTTCTGTTCTTTATGCCAGCCAGTCTATAGCATGTTGTTACGGCAGCTGCCTGGCATCCTCCATCTCGCTCTTCACTTTTCCTTCTCCTTTACACGCACACTCAGTTTCCTCCTCGGTTAAAAAAAAAAAGTTTGACCTTGACTTCCCTTCTGGTAATAACACCATCTCATTCCTTCCTTTCTCAAATTTCTCAAAAGAAAAATTGTAATTAATTCTGTCCCCCATTATTTTCCTATAAGGCACCAATAACTTCTAATTATCAAATCTGTTGGCTTATTTCTAGGCCATAGCCATTTTGAGTTTTCATTATTTAAAGTTGCTGATTACCTCTACCTACTTCAAAATTTTCTCTTCCTGAGGCCCCCATGATGTATAGCTCTGGTCCCTCTATATGCTCTCTAAGTATTTATATTTTTCACAGCTTTCTTTTTCTCTTTATATCACCAATAGCTCTCCAGTCTCCTAAGCTCAGCACAGCTGTGTCATTAACCTTTATATATTCTACACTTTTTCCCTTCGAGATCACAACTGTCCCCATCACTACGAATGTCATCTGTACCCAGAAGACTCCTAAACCTCGTAGTGTAGCCTCCGCAGCTCACCTGAACTTCAGGTCTGCATTTTCAACGACCTTCCGGCCATCTCTACAGGTGACTGCACCAGTATATTCCACACAATGTATCCAAAACCTGCACTTGTCTCCTTGAAAAACACTTTTCCTCTTAAACTTTGCCTTATTGTTGAGGCTCAAAATCCACTTTCATTTTCTCTTTCCCATATTAAATCTGTCCCTAACATTTGCTAATTCTCTCTGAACTTATTTCTACCTATCCCCTCCCTGACAGTTCCATAACTCCTACTCCACTTACCTCTCATCTCAACAATATTAATGATCTCACATTTGGTTTCAATACTTTTAGTCCACAGGTCACAGTGCAGCCCACAGGAAAAATCCAGCCAGCAGTGGTGTTTTATTAGACCACTAGAACGTATTTTCAAATTTTAAATCAGTGACCAAATTTAAAAACTGGAAGACAGAAATATTGATTTCTGTTGATTATTGAAAAAAATGAGATTAACTGGGAGCATTAAGCCCAGGTTCTGAGGTGGAAAAACTACCCAGCCTTGAAGTTGTCCTCTTCAGACTAGACATTCGCCCTCTGTACCCTTCTGTCATACACTGAGTGTTTCAAGTACAAGTCTTGTCCAGTCGCGGTAAGCATTGGAGTTGCTGCCCCATGTTTATTGTTCAGACCAACTAATGCAGTTTATATAAAGTGACCGTCCTGAAATCTAAACTCCTGGTGGTGTCCCACAGTCAAAACCTTACATGGTTCAATATTGCTGAGAGAACAAAGTAAATTCCCTAGCACAGCATTTAAGACCAACTACAAACAGCTCTCCATGTTTCACTGTGCACCCTCCCTCTCACAGACACCTGCCCCACAAGCAGTCTCACATACACCTGTCCCACCAGCAGTGTGGATGGATGTTTTCCCCCTGAAAATGCTCCACAACTTTTTGTGCAGCTCCTGTGCATTTCCTGTATCCATACTATCTCCTCCGTACCCCAGCTCCTACACGTTTGTGGAAATCCTACTTACCCATCCACCCCTAGTTCATATCCACTGACTACCCTGCTTTTTTTTCTCCCATGTCCCTACTTGGTGAGGTCCCAGGTTACATCAATTACCAATTGACCCACTGGACAAAAATAAAATAATTCTCTCCTTAGCCCTTCTTTGGGACTGTAAGAAGCAGCACCCTTAGATTTTAGGTCTCCTAGCTGGCATCTTGGTTCTGTATCCTCTATCTACCCAATACCAACAGAAATTGTTGTTTGTATAAAAAAGAAGAGTTTTCATTTAGTAAGTTTTTGCCATACACCAGACACCATGCCAAGTGCCTTAGGTGCATTATCTCATTTAATCCTTATGACAATCCATAAATTATGTACTCATACTCACATTGCTCCACTGAAAAGATTTAGAGAGCTCTATGAAGTGATTTTCCCTAGGTTACATGGCCAGTGAGTGGTACTCTGAGTACACAAAATCAGGGCTATCTATCTCATGCTGCAGCCCGTGGTCCCTCCCCGAAACTACAGTGGGCTGAGTGACTCTCCTGCTTCTGAGGTGTCTTTGCTGTAGAGAAATCAAGGGAGATTAGGACAGAATCCAGAGGAAGGAGCATGCAAGACTCTGATCTAAACTTTTAGGAAAATGAGTCAAGTTGGTCTTTAAGGTTTTTATATTGTTAAGGCAATTCACCACGGTAACAAAAAAGAGAGTGATAACGGTCAGAGGAATTAATGGCATACCAAAAAAAATTCACATTGGGCTGGAAATGTATTTGGATTTACATCTCTTGGGGACCTAAAGAAAGTGATCAGCAACAGATGGAGATACAAATGCAAGAGAAAGTGAAGGCAACTTAATATCTAGAACAGCTGACAAGATGAAATCCCAAAATCTGAGGGCTGCAGTCAAAGAGCGGTCTTCTCCACTGAACTGAATTCATTCAGTTATAGAGCACTTTTCAACAATAAAACGTCCATTAAAGAACAGAAAATTAAATGTTTTGCCACTTTAGTAGTCTTTCAAATTACATTACTTAATAAATACTACTTTCATATTAATATAGTAAATAGAAGAATTCTGAACACTAAGCCATGCAGAAATTGTCCACAAACCAGACAGGCAGAGGGACCCAGCAGAGACTAGCAAAGCCTGTAAGTCATCACATTCCATTAGAAACATCCAGATGCAAACACATGAGAGAGCCCTTCAACAACACTGCTGCACCGCTGCTGGGACTGCCAAACTCAGCAACGCCACAAGGTAAGCAATATGGGTATTGCTATTAGCATCGATATAATACTGGTCTTCGTTACAGGCAATTTGAAATAACATGTCAGTCTTAAATCCTAGCCATAAATATAATAGAGTAACAAAATAACAGGTTAAAAGGATCCCATGGCATGTTCCTTGTGATAAGTTATTTCTCTGAAGACACCAAGAAAGAAGAAAATTAAGTCAGAGAAGAGAAAGCAGTAAAGACATAAACTTTAGGAAGAATTAAGGGTGAAATGACACTGGTGTGACTGTGTCTTGTTTACATGGATTGTTAAATTTCCTTTTATGTCTTTATCATTAATATCAGCACTTAGTAGCTATAAGAGTATGAATGTGCAAGCGAGTACTAGTTAATGTACAGTGCTTGTGCTTCTTCATAAGTTATTACACTTAAATATCATTGGGAATTTGCTGTGTGTCTCCAAATAGACTCATCTTTTTGAGAGCAAGAAACATTGGCTTTTTTTTAATGCCTTACAGTATATAGTAGATGTTCCTCAGTAAGCACCTGGTAAATGCTGATGAATTACACTGATATTCTGCTCTCTAAACAGAAATATTCTTCAGAAAAACTTAGGTCAGAAAGTGTCATCACATCATGGTCATCTTGTTTCTTTTTCCAGTTAAAGACCACAATCTTGTGTGAAAGGCCAGGGTCTTGTATCAAAGGAGGCGGCTCAGGGCTAGTTAGTAACTTGTTCTCTCCTGAAAAACTTCTGACTTTACTACATAGGCCTTATTCCCACACTACCAAGTAAAGGAAGCTTGCATGACAGCAGGACCTACGGTGCATGGGGAGGAGGAGGACAGCAGGGAGAAACGTGAAGCCTCAGAGAACACTAGAGACTCAACATCAGAGGTTAAGCAGGATCACATTCTTTTCTTTCTTTGTTTTAACTGTTATTGTGGGGAAAGTTAAAACATACACAGAAGTGAACACATTAATACAATAAACTCCCATGTCCCTATAACCTAGCTTCAAAAATCATCACCACGAGCTCCATCTTATTCCCTCTGTAACCCGACTCCACTGTCCCTTCTAGATCATTTGGAAGCAGATCTCAGAGACTGCATCATTTCATCACTAATGTTTTCAGTATGTATTTCTACAAAGGCAAGAATTCTTCTTGAAATTTAACTTTTGCTCCCCAAATTAAAATATTTAACAGAACTGTCTATGACTTTGAAACACACTCAATATACTGCTATAAAAATTTATTTTTGTGATATTGTAGAAGTTTGAAATGCAATTTCCAATACATATCAAAAGTAAAAAAAATTATTTACTTAATTATATAATTTTTCTGTAAATTTATCTTGAGAAAATAATCCAGATACTAGAAGGGGAGGGGGAACGATGAGTATTGAAGTGCTCATTGGAATATTATGATAGTGAAACAATTGTAAATTTACTAAATTTTAGTAAAGATATTTTATGGAATATTTCATATAACCAATGATATAATTATAAAACTATACATATGGGTGTTAAACTAAATCAACATAAGACGAAAATTTTATTTATATTATTATTACAACTTTGTAAAAATACTTACACATTTAAACAAACTTGGGAAAATAATAAAAAACTCAAGATGATAGGTTTATGGGTATTCTTCCTCCTCGATTTAAAAATATTTTTATGTTACTGCTATTTACTTTATATTTTAAAATATTTTATCAAATCTTTTATTTTTAATTTTTTCATGTCATAATTCTACAATCTATCAAAGCACATATCACATGTCACTTGCTACATGACGCCTCCACTAATCACCTCAATATCAATTTCTTTCTTTAAATTTCTACACACTTGACAGTCACTGAACTACAGTTATTCACAAAAGTATCCTGAGGACTTTATATTTGAATATGTGATAATCAATATTTTCATTTTGTAAGGTGTTTCCTTTCCTAAAAAACTAAAACAAGTGTATAATATCAGTAAGTAAACCTTAGCTTTCAAATATAATCATCAATATGATCTTTTAATCTTGAACGTTTACTATTCAACTCAACAAAATTGACATGGACTCCATAAGAGTCTATCTGAATAAAACTAGTCCTTGTTTCCATTCCAGCATCCTAGATAGGCTGATCATTGGCATTACCGATTTTGTTTACTGCTTTTTTAATGAAATAACAAGTTAAAATGCACGTAGTTTCCAAACTCTGTTTTAGCAACAGAGCAGTCATGCAGCACAAAAAAGCACAGTAGGATAAACAACAATGGGACATTTACACAACGGAATACTGTTTGGTCACAAAAGAGAAGAAAATATTACCTTTTGCCAAAGTATAAATGGTCCTGGAGAACATTCTACTAAGTGAAATAAGCCAGTCAGAGAAAGACAAATACTATATGATTTCATTCACGTGTGGAATATAATGAACAAACAAGCAAAGTTGACAGATTCATAGCAAGATGACAGCTAAAGGCAAGGGGAGGGGCATTGGTTAGGGAGTAGAGGGATTGAGCAAAAAGGAAAAAGGACTCACGGACATGGACAAGTGTGGTGATTGTGGGGCAGGGGGGGTGTATAATGAAACTAAATGGTAATGGGGAAAAAAACACAATAAAAATAAAAATAAAAAAGTACAGCTGCTTCAGCATACACTGGGGTGAAATAGGCAACAAGAGACCATGAGCGCCACCTCCTGGCTAGTGATTCCCCATCAGGTGCCCCAGGGCTCTTTAGAACCTATTTCAGAAGCCACTTTAAGAAAATACACACAAAACAGAACAAATGCTGCTGCGCAGTAGAGAGTAATAGCCCAGGGTAAATTTTTAACTGATGGAGCACTATCATGTGAAAACGAATAATGTAAAAGTTTATATTTACCATACAAAAGGTGCAGGTAATCAGAGCTGAATTAAGCAGACCACTTAGCTACCTGCTGGTACCAATCTTTAAAAGTCATTTATTTTATTTTATTTATTTATTTATTTTTAGAGAGAAGGGAAAGGAATGAAAAAGAGAGGGAGAGAAACATCAATATGTGGTTGCCTGTCACATGCCCCCTGCTGGGGACCTGGCTAGCAACCCAGGCCTGTGCCCTGACTGAGAATCCAACCGCAACCCTTTGGTTCACAGGCTGGTTCTTGATCTACTGAGCCATACCAACCAGGGCAAAAGTCATTTTTAAAATGACTTTAAAATTATTTTTAAAGATTGAATATGAAAGTCAATATTTAAAAGGTCATCACTGAAAAGTTAATAAGATAGTTTACAGCCATACCACCCTGAACATACCTGATCTTGTCTGAAAAGTTAGTAAGATAGAGAAAAGTATATTGTCCAGAGCTCCTTTTAGGTAGAATACTATATATTCTTAGTAAGACATCACTTAGTCATGCCTAAATAATACCTACGATCTTTAAGAAGGGTGACTCCCATTAATTGAAGAAAGGCTTTTGTTTTGCTGAGTAAAGTAAGCAATTTGAGAGTCAAAACTAAATTGTCACGGGCTATAGTGAAAACTATAGCTGTTACCAACTATAGTTTTCTCCTCTAAATGTCAAGCACATATTTAAGAGTAAAAAATTGAAAGGGTACAAGTTGTTAATCTTCCCTGGATGACTGAATGTCTGCATATTGACCCAGTGTCGATATATGCTAAAGTATGACTTGTTTAAAATTTGAATTTGCACAAGTCAAGCACCAGCTGTAACTACAATTTTGAATGACATATTACTTTCAAGTTGACATGTAATTTTACCATCTCAACTTTTTACCTAGATTAGAAATTCCATGAAAGCAGGGACCATGTCTTTTTTTCGTTTTTGTGTGCTCTACAGAGCTTAGCATACTACCTTATGCATAGTAAGGTGCTGCTCCATTAGATAAATTGTTACTGAATTATTAAATTGCAGCCTTCACCAGGCTCTTCAAATTTCACCTGTCCAAGAAATAATTCATTAGTTTCACCTTCAAACCCCACCTCTGCTCCACCTACCTCTCTAGCATTTATCTCACTTTGGGGATAGAAATAATCTTGAACTGTGTTCAGTACTGGAGCAGGTATGGTAACAGGCCTGCTGAAGATACTTGCATAAGGAACCCTCCCAAAGCCCTTCCCCGAGGAGAAAAGAGCTAGGAAGGTAAGCCAGACTCAGAAAAATGAGTCCTTTTATATTAGGTGTGAAAAATAATTCTGAGCACATCTTGATGTCTCTTACTCAAACTTTTTATTGGCACTAAATTATGAATTGATGACTGATCAATTCATCTAGGTATGAAAGTGCAAGGGTTTCAATATGTAAAAAAAGAAACTATTACTTTTGTAGTTGAAAAAGTACAGTATCTTTGATTTCTAATAAGATTTAACTTTTTTCATCAATTAGCTATTCATTCTTTTACTGTCTGTTCAGAGTTGTTTGCTCATTTAGGTATCAGATTACTGTTTTCCTTATTAATAACAACATTCTTTCAAACTTCATAGTTCTTCATTTTACTTGTATTTTTTCCCATTTTGTTTTTAGTTCCTTTCACATAGTCCTCTTCGTTAGCCAAATTTTTGTATGACTTCAATGGTTTTAAGCTTATAAAGTCTTCTTTTATACAGAAATTTGAAACTGATCCATTTCCTCCTATTTTATTAGTTCATTTTTTGCATATATTATGCTAATAACATTTTAAAATTAACTTTTAACACCTAAAACTATCCCATTATCCCAGGATCGTTTATGAAATAATAATTTCAATTAACATCTATTTGAGAATCTATATTCATTATATATTAAATCAAATGTACAGAAGGGTTTGCTTTGAGGATTATTTTGTTCCATAATTCCATCTACTCTTTCCCCTGCACAATACTGGTTAATATTGTATCTTGATAGTGTTTTAATATTTGAGAAGGAAAAAGTACCATTATTACTTTTCCTGAAAAAAATAGTCATACCTATTCAGCCTTTCAGATATATTTTATGATTAATTTGTCAAGTTGTGTTAAAATAATTATTTTTTGGAAGGAATTGGTCACTTGGAAGCACTCAGCCTTCCACAGGAGGAAGATTCGTTTTTCCATTTGTTTATCTTGAGGTACATAGCACCACACACCTCTTCTGGAAGTCACGTCTTCAGATAATGGCATATGATAGTTGCTAGAAATGTTTTTCACCTTTTCAAGGTAAGAAAAACTCCTCTCACATAATGAACTGAATAGGGATGTAGTTGGTGATTTTCTGAATTAAAAGCCAGAAACAGGTTTTTACTTCACAACATCTGAAAACTAGGAGCCAAAAAAAGAGGAAACGTATGGAAAATTTCTAGAAGAAAAAAGGAAAATCGAAATCTGAATTTGTGGTTTTGAAATTTCAGTTTGCAACCAGATGTTGAGTTTGAGGACTTATTTAATAGATGGTCAACAAACAATTTCTTTAAATGGAATTGAGATATTTTCTCAGGACTGCCTGGAGAAAATTCTTGTCTGTCATGCATGCGCATGCATGTGTGTGGGTGTAATGGATCAGAATCAAAGATAAAAATGAATTTCTGACCACGTTGAAGCTTATTCCACCAGGATTACCAGTACATTTTTCTAAATTTAACAGCATAGATGATTATGTTCCTAATCCATTTTTTTTAAATCTTCCCCTCTTCATTTCCAAATTATATCTTTATGACTTGGAGGATAGGTTATTTTCACGTTTCCTTTCTTGAGAGATAAACACCTTCACTCCTTCCTCCCTTGCTTCTCAGATTCCCCCATCTAGGCTAAGACCCATGGTCTTAAAACAGGGCCCAAAGTAATCAAGATAGTGTTTGTTCAAAGAAAGAATGTGTCAGATTCCACACAGATATACAGAACTCCACTTTCTCTCTTTCCTCCCAAGAGTTCAAATGAAAAATAAAGATACCAGGCACATAGGAATCCTACTCAGTGCATGCATATTAACATTTTTTTAATTAGGCTCAAGCTTTTACAAAAGGAGACTCCTACCAGGCTTGTTTTATTCATTCTATGGCGTACTTTGCTACTTATTCCTTATTACTTCTGTGAAACGACATTTTCTTCTTCCCAAGGCTGACTCTAACTTATCTCAATATGGGCAAGTACAATACAGATCATTCTAAATAATTTAATTTATAAGCTTTGCAAATGAGGATTCAGAGAGACAGTCATAACTGCACTGTCCCCTGCACCATGGTGAATTTCTCCTCAAGTGAGATTTTAGTCCAAGGAATCTTGAATATATACTGTCATCACAAGGATTTTTTGTAAAGATTCTGTTATGCCTGCCTTTCAATATCCCTTAAGTTTGGAGAATCTGTCTGTAAAAATATATATAACATGATTTGAATATTATAAATTAAGATAACATAGTATATAAATAAAATTATATATTAATCGCCCTGTAAACTCAGTGATCTTAGTAGTCTTACTAATATCTTTACTAATATCTTACTAAAGATCTTATACTAAGATCTTACTAAGATCTTTAGTCTTACTAATTTAACTCCAAATATTGTAGAAATCAAGCTGGTAGGTCTATTCAATGTGGTGATTAGAGGTTAGAGAAATAAAGAGTTAACCATTAGCTCTGATTATCAAAAGCTAACCATTTCAAACTTCAGTCTGTTTCAAATATGTTATCAATATTACTTGGAAATAATCACCTCTATCTTAGACGTTCTTGATTTGGTTTTAGACTGACATTTATTAATAATCATATGCTTCATAAACACAAATATTTTCTATCTAGGACTTCCCCTCACCACAAAACACAATTCCTTGATTAGTGCATTGACAGGGTGCCACCCATGTTTCCACACACTGACTTCAAGTTTCATAAAAATAATTCTTTTGAAGAACCTGTTTGCTGCAGAATTCCTTACATAGCATATTGCTCCTTTGCTATCAGGAAGTAAAAGATTTCCTGGTCAAATCTATGCAGACAGCAGATATTTTTAAAGATTTTTTAGTGAAAGTTTACCATTTTATTTTTCAGAGATCATATTTGAAAAATGGCTCAGAGTGACTTCCTCTACCCAGAGAACCCGAGGAGGCGGGAAGAAGTCCACCATCTTCACCAACAGCTCCTTGATTGCTTATCTGACAGCTTCCATGCCACCAATAAGCTGATTGGAGTCTTAAATATGCATTTGGGGTGCAAGCTGGACTCCATTGAGATGAAAAGAAATGGGACCATCAAAGAAAATTGTGATATCATCATCCAAGCCGTGATGAAAATCCAGAAGGAATTGCAAAAGGTTGACGAAGCACTCAAAGATAAACTAGAGCCAACCCTTTATAGAAAACTTCAGGATATTAAGGAGAGGGAAACAGAAAAAATTGCAATAGTACAAAAGGTTATTTCAGTCATCCTGGGAGAAGCTACTTCTGCAGCCAGTGCAGTGGCTGTTAAACTTGTGGGCTCAAATGTCACAACTGGCATAATTAACAAGTTGGTCACTGTGTTAGCTCAAATTAGTGCTTCTCTCCTTGGTAGCATAGGAGTTGCTGTTCTTGGCCTTGGCATAGATATGATCTTCCGTGCCATCCTGGGAGCAGTGGAAAAAACGCAGCTACAAACAGCCATCAAGAGTTATGAGAAGCATCTGGTGGAATTCAAGTCAGCCTCAGAAAAATATCATCATGCTATTACTGAGGTCACCAACACAGTGAAACAACAAATGAAATAAACAGCCACCTTATTTGCCACTGGAATATTTTCTGCTTCTCTCTCAATTATAGTATTTGGTTTCTTAGATTAGGTTCATTTTCCATAAACTTTCATCATAGATGTAAATACAATAAACAAATTGGGAAAAGGAATTAGAGATGCTAAAAGAAGATGACTCGAGTTTTGCAACAATAAATGCCTGGATCAGTTGGTGCTAGACCCTGTGAGTTAAAAGACTGTCCCAGGATGTCTTCTCACTCTACCAAATCAGTGTTAGGGTAAATGCTATTATAGAAAAGGTGTAGAGGTTGCCTTTTCCTTTCTAATTCCCAGTCAAAATCCTTAAACGTAAATGAGTGCTGAGACTTTCATTTCTACCACTTCAGACATCATTTAGCTTTAAGAGGACATACTTTGTAATTTCCACCTGGACACAAACCCTGGGCCTTTGAATAGAATACAAATACTACCATAATTTCAATCATCACTTTAAATCCAAGTTTCTGTAAACTGGGAAAGACTGAAATATGGTTTGTAACAATTAACTTCAATGATAAAAGGAAGCAATAGTTCTATAAACTTCTAATTATACACTATAATCTGAATCTATTTTTAACAGATAAAAGTTAAAACTAAAAAGATAAAGGTTTTGTTTCTGTAATTGCAATCAACCCTGACCAATGTGGTATGACAATTAAATATCCCTCAAGTGAATGTTCGAACACTCTGTAACATTTTTTAAGGCAAATCCCAGATATATATCTGTAAAATGTATTTATAATGCAAAAGATGAAACCACTCTTTCAAGAATTTGTCGTTCAGAGGAAAGTCATCGTTTATTACTTCATGAGTGTTCAGGAAAATAAATAAATTTCACTTTCAATACTAGCAAAAATGGGGAAGTTGCCCTAGTTATATAAACCTTTAGGTTGCCTATTTCATTAATTACCTTCAGAAAATCCAGAGGCTAAGGAGGTCTAATAGTTCAGTTACATTTCTGCAGATGGAAGTGTTTGTTTTCTAAGTACTGCACCAACTAATAACTCCCTGTTGAGATTCTTGGATTAAACTCACAAAATTATTAATAAACTGTGATGCAAGAATGTGTTATAGTTGACACTTGAATCCAAGTTCAGGAAAAGTCTTGATATTTAATAAGCTCAGCCTATCTCAAAAATTAAAAGCTGGATAAAATACTTTAATTTTTTAAATGTACTATTTTTCTCCTCTTCTATCGTTTTTTAGTTGCAAAACATCGCAATTTAGGTTCACCTTCAATATTAAATGTTTTTGTTGTTTATTACCTGATTTATAAACTTGAAACTACAAGATCTTTTTACTGTTCTGAGACTCAGAAGTCAGTCTAAAATCAATTCAAGAATTTCCTAAGACAAAGGTTAGTTTAGGACTAAACTTGAACGGTTAAGTGCACATTTAAATATTCTGCTAATATTTATAATTGATTGTAGGAATTGGCCTACAACATATTTCCTATAAGGGATATTTCAATTAAGGTGAGAAACACGTGTCCTTTAAGGACAGATGTTTAAATATTTAAAATATTTAAAATTACCTATAAGAGGAAAACATAGTGTAGGAGTCTTGGGGGAAAAGTAAATACAAGAGAATCTTCGAAGACTAAACCTGAGGGAATAACCCCGTACGTACAGTGACATCGTATGAGACGTTTTGGCTGGTGAAGAGACCACAGCCAATATAACAACCTCGCCTGTCGTAAAATTAAAATTGACAGGTGTATTCCCACACTTCCTTTCCAAAAAAGTAATCCCGTAGATTAGCAATCTGGGACTCTAACGTGAGCATTGATTTGCTCAGGTCTACACATGTTGTATCTATAAACTACTGAATTTACAGATGGACGTGATGCTAGCAAAACACACCAAACACAGTAGCAAATATTACTTGGGGATTCATTCCCAAACAGACACTCCGAAAACACCGTACTAGCTCACATTATGAAAAAAAAAAAAATCCCAAAACTAATACAACTCCAGAAAGCAGAAACTGCACCAACACACTTCCGACCTAAACAACGCCAATCTAGCGCGGCGCAAAACTGTAAGCGCCCGGAATTAGGTCAGAATACCTGTCCCCAGAGGCAGGACCATCTTTTTACCAGCCAATCATATATCCGAGCTGCTTCTCTTTCTGATTTCTATTGGTCTACAGAAGTGTCGATCGATGTCGTATTTGTCTGCGTAACATTAGGGCGGGCTCTTAGCAGATCGTCAGCCAATTCAGTACTGTATTGGTGCGGAAGAGACTCGGGTCTTGGAGTCCTTTGTTACTTTCTACATTTCCAGGACGTAGAAAAGCGAGGATCTTAAGCCCAGAGGGACAGGAAGTGACGTAGGGATGGTGGAGGGGCGCGAGGTTTCAAGATGGCGGTTGTTCGATAGCCGACTGGGAGCAGAGGTGAAGGCCCCTGCGAAATAAAAGAGGCCGAGAGTCGTCCCCTCCCGGCTTCTCCTCGCAGTCCCAGAGTCCAGCGGAAGTGTAAGTGTGCGAGATTGTTCCAATCGGATTATTCACCTTTTCCGTTCCTTCCTTGGGCTCGCGCTGTTGCCTCGGGACACTAGGCCCCCAAGCCCCGCTCTTTCTGTCCGTGGTAGGGGTCTCCCGAGTCGCGGACTTGGGGGATCCCCGAGCTTGGGGCCGAGCGGCGACCAGCGGTTAAGCGGCTGACTTCTCCCGGTTGGCTAGCGCCGACTCCTCATGTCTGTCCACGTTGATTGGTAGGTAGCCTGAGATTTGATGGTCAGGGTCAACCGTCGCTATGGTTTCGGCAGTTGCTGCTGCTGTTGCCTAGGCTGGAGATGGACCCCCGACTCCTTGGAGCCTTTTTGGCTGTTGAGTTCCCTCATGGTTCTGTGGCCCAATTTCCCTATCGCCCCTGCTTTAAGACAGAAAAGTAGTTTGCGCAGGCTAAGGCTCCAGCGTCCTCTGTAAAAAAAAAAATTCTGTAATTCGTATTCTGGTTCAGTTTGGGAAAGATGGGTCAAAACAAAAGCCTGAGGGTAATTGAGCGAGGAAAGCAGGAAAGGTACCGATCATCAAAGATATGAGAACTTGTATTTATACTAAATTTGTATGCTTCTGCTTTCCATAGCCCCCATTCATAGTTTTTCTGAGAGGGAAACCCTTAACAGGGTAAATTCGTTACCATTGGAACAGCTTTGAAACATTCAGCAGAAGTAAAGGCAATTGAACACTTGCTGAGAGAGTTACTGACTTAATAATGTCTGATAGAATCCTCATAAAGAAGGAAAGGTGTCATTGTATGGCCTCTTAAAAATTTTACCTGGGGCCCATAACTTCCCTATTAAAAGGTTTAACTTTTCGTTACGCAAACCCTGTCCGTTGTTTTTGTGCACCTAGATTAACACATTTTTGAAATGCTTCTTTTTCAGACCCCTCAGAAGCTTAAGGACCTTCAAGGGGCACATAATCTTATTAACCATATTTTGCCAGGTATAATGTGCATCCGTGTATGCTGCACACCCACATTTTTGGCCCAAAATTTCAGGGGGAAAAACCTTTCCTTTTAATTTTTTTAATTCAATTGTTTGTTTATATTTAGATACTTGTTCTTTGTATTATTGAGGAATATTAGCATTTATTTTTTAACATGTTAGGATACAAGAAATTTTATGTAACAAATAATTACAAAACAAAAACAAGTTATTTCAGGTACTGTCCATGTATAATGCACATCTTTATTTTTCCCTCAAAAATTTGGGCAAAAAATGTGTGTTATACATGTCAAAATATGGTATACTGTAACCCAGTCCTATAGATAGTTTCCCTCTTGCTTTCTCCCACCTCCCTATAATCATTCTTACATACCCCCCCACCCCCCATAAAAGAGACTGCAAAACTGTCATTATCCAGAACATTTTTGAGATCTTGCTGCCAGGCAGGTCATCAGTTTGGCTCAGATAAGCTCTAATATATTCTTATACAAATTTTCTACAGGTTTGGACATTCTTAGGTTGAAACTTTTTTTTTTTAATGAACAAGTGAACCATACAGATTATCAACATGGGACGAAGATCTACATCATCCACCAAGAGTGGAAAATTTATGAACCCCACTGACCAAGCCCGTAAGTATCCATTAATGTGGATGATGAAGAAGAGAAGTGGTGAAATGCAAGCACCAGGGCATCGGTTTCATGATGCCCTAATTACCAGATCAGCAGTGCCAGGAGTCAGTTATATGAAGTTAACCAGTGTTCTTGTGGACACATGATTAAAACTTCAAAACGTGCAACCAGACCCACATGGCAAAGGGTCGCCAGTTTGATTTGCAAGACAGGCCACATGGCTGGGTTCTGGGTCCGTTCTCCAGTCAGGGTGGGTATGAGAGGCAACTGATGGATATTTCTCACATCGATGTTTCTCTCCCTTTCTCTCTGTCTAAAATTAAAATCTTGAAAGAAATTTTTTTTAATGAAACTTCAAATCATTAAAAAAAAAAAACACCCATATTTCTAAATTGATTGACCTGCAAAATAGAATTGGCTTAAAGCTTTCTTTCTGTATTTGGGATTTTGAAGAAATTATTAGTTTGGCAAGTTCTTGTTTAATATTTTATGGCTTCTTTTTTTTTCTTCATGTTCCTAATTCTTAAGAAAAACAAAAATGTTGACATTTTTAGTTGACCAAATTAGAACAGTGCTAGTGAGGTCTAGTAGGGAGAGGCCAGGGATGCTGCTGCACACCCTGCGGGGGGCGGGCCCGGCCCACAGTCCAGGCCATCTGTGTTGAGAAGATGCTTTGACAGCGGTCATGGTTTTAAAGGTTTATGTTCTTTCTCCCCCTCAAGGAAAAGAAGCCCGGAAGAGAGAATTAAAAAAGGTATGGTTTCAGATGCATCAAATTAGTTATCCATGTTGTTTGGCACATCTTATCATTTGGGATTAGTGGATTTTAAAATAACATTTCCGATTATTTGCCAGAAAATAAACTGTATGCCTCTTATAACAAGCCATAAAATTTCAAAATACCATACAGAT